CCCCCCAAAGCATATGAAATTGTGGGGACAAATTTGCCTTGCTTTCTGTGGGAAGGCTACAAGTCCTATTCTTCTCCTCATTATGACTTTTTTGTTTCAGTGTGTGACAAAGCCAGTTATTTGTGTTCTCTCTATAGCTTTGTTCATAGCTGGCTTAATTTAGTTAGAATGGCCATTGGCTTACTTGGTTATATGTTAATAACATCTAGTTCCATTTCTTACTCAAGGGGTTTGTGAAAGTTGTCAAGAATAAGGCCTACTTCAAGCGATACCAAGTGAAATTCAGGAGAAGAAGAGGTATAGTTAAATTTTCTGTAACATAAGACATTGTTGGCTATTCCTACTTTTCCAATGTATTTTCCACGCTATAACTGTTGTTTTTCAGAGGGAAAAACTGATTACTATGCCCGTAAGCGTTTGGTGATTCAAGATAAAAACAAGTACAACACCCCTAAATATAGGATGATTGTGCGTGTTACCAACAGAGACATCATTTGCCAGGTACTTGTGCTTGCCACTTGGTTACTAACCTTCCTAAAGTGAAATAAGCAGCGCTTTAATGAAGCGGAGGGTGGGGTGGAGGCAGCTCTGATCTAAGCAGCTTTTATATTGTAGCATGTTTTGTCAGAGCAGAACAATTCTTAAGATTGACACAATTTTTGTAATAGAGTGTATTCATAATACAAATCAGCAGTGTCAGCATTCTTGAACAAGGTTATTTGTAGTATAAGATTGTGCTCTCTTACTGAGATGTGTAGAAGGTTTTAGGGAGGAAAAAAATCTGTCTTTTCTACTGTCTTAAAACTTAATACGCTTTGAAAAGCGGGCTTTTTTAACTTGTTTGAAGACAGCTAAGTTAACTGTGTGACCTGTCAACGTGCACTTACTATCTCAAAAGGTGCCTTCTTTTTGCAGAGGCTTTTCTGATGGTGTTATGGGGATCATATGAAGCAGATATGCCTTACGATAGCTGTCCTGTGAGATTAGAGGAGACCGATAAATGAGCATAGTAGACATCTCTCTATGGGTATTAAGTATGCAGTTGTCTGTTGCAGCATCTGATGCAGTTCCTTACTGTGGTTCACTTTCTCAAATTATTTTCAAAATGTTTTGATCAGTTTTGAAGCTGAAGATTTAAGTTTGTTTTATCATAAATACATTTTGTTAAGCTTAAGGAGAACTAAAGAGTTTGTTTGTAGTTTCTTTCTTCATAGAATAATCTATCTGTAGACAACAGTAAAGAAAAGAATGCCATTTTTCAGTCAATTCAGACTAAACTATGTGACCTTGAAAAGGCTATTCCGTCTTTCAAATTCAGAATAAAAATCAGTAGTGGCAGGTGCTTATATCTGACCCATAGTCCCTTCCCAGTATGTAGGAACTCTGCGAGGAGGGGGCAGCTTTTGGATGCAGAGAGGAGGTATGGGAGTGAAAGGGAGAAAGTCCTGCAAGTGAAAGGAACAATAGAAACAGATCTGATATTGCTGCTGTCTCACAAGAGACCCTTGAGATTGACAGTCTCAGATCTATTAATAGAAATCATTCCATAAGGTTAGTAAGAGTATTATCACAAATATTACATTAGATGCTTTTGCTTATTTCTGAGCTGTTGTATGTTGTGTTACATGAGATTTATATGTAGAAAATGGGACAGAGTCCACCCATACCTATAGTACTCCTTTGAAAGGTTGCTTTTGTAGGCAGTTTTGTGGCCTCTTGATATAGGTGGAGAGGTAAATAAACTTAAGTTCTTGCTGACATTTCCTTCCTTTCCTTTCATTTGCATTTGAATTCTTTGCTCCTGTAATTGAGGTCTACAAGAAATGCCTTTAAGAAAGCAAAAGGAAAAAAACAAAACTTGTGAGCTTGGGTGCGAAGATTGGCAGTTTGTTAGACATATGTATACACAGTTCCTATTGGCTTAAGCAGATGTCAGAAAATTGAGCCCAAAATTGGTGTGGGAACCTAATGGTTGTTTTGTTGTCAGATTGCCTATGCAAGGATCGAAGGTGACATGATCGTTTGTGCTGCTTATGCCCATGAGCTGCCAAAATATGGCGTGAAGGTTGGTCTGACCAATTATGCAGCAGCATACTGCACGGGTCTGCTGTTGGCACGCAGGGTAGGTATCTGTGAAATTGTCTAAGAGTAATTGCTGTTTTCTGGTTTTCTTACAAAAGGGAAAGCCCGCTTTCTTAAATGGCGTGTTAATATAGATAACTGACTCCATCTGCTTCTCTGAATGTTAACTTTTGCTCTTTACTATATAGATTTGATGGCCTTTCATGACAGTAAGGTCATGGTGAGAAGTGTGACAACATGCGGAGTTTCACCTCCAGCAGCTAGTTCTTAAGTCTCCACACTCAGGTTTAGCGGAGGGAGGGCTGGAGTGTGTATAAAAGCATAAGAAATATACCTTAGAGTTTGAAAACACGTATGCAGGATACATCCATTTTCCATGTGAGCTCATGAGCAAGTCTAAACATACTTGTGAACCTGCTGGAACAAGATGTTGAAACATAAACAGACACGCTTACCATGATTGTTGTTAAAAACGTTGCCGTTAGTATGGAGTGGTCATTAGTATGGAGTGCATAATTTGTGTAAAGGAAACTTTTAAAGCATGAGGATTCTACTGCCAGTTTGTGTTCTATGCTGGTGGTAGTTCTTCATTTCTTTAATTAAAGGGAAAGAATTTCAGAAGATGTGATTTTTGTTTTGTTTTGTTTCCCCCCCACCACAGCTTCTGAATAAATTTGGCCTTGATAAGATCTATGAAGGCCAAGTTGAAGTGACTGGTGATGAATACAATGTGGAAAGCGTGGATGGAAAGCCTGGTGCTTTCACATGCTACCTGGATGCAGGTCTTGCCAGAACTACCACTGGAAACAAAGTCTTTGGTGCTCTGAAAGGTGCAGTGGATGGTGGTCTATCCATCCCTCATAGGTAATTCAGTCTGTTTTGAAAAATCCCTTTAGAGTTACCTGAAACTTGTCTTTATGTGACAGTCTATTTATATTGTCACCTTATGCTGAAATAATTCTGTTACAGACCTGGTGGTGATTACTTAGCCTAGGTTTTGCTTGCCGCCTTTTTCTTTTTCCTCTCGATAGGTGCAATTCCGATAGTGCTGTTAGGAATCTTGGACCATGAAGAGATGCTGTTAAACTTTCAGAAACTGAACAAAACAGCCATCTTGTTACTTGTACTTTAAAAACGTCCAGTGACTGAATACATCTAGGAAAAGATCTTTTAATGTTCACGTTGAGTCTTTAGCAAAGCATATGTATATATGAATTTCACCTTGGAAAAACTGCACATACCAAGTGCAAAACAACCATTGGCATTTTCCACAGTTGTCAAAACAATTTTAAGTCTGAGCAGTCTACCTGCACTTCAAATTTCCATGTGGAAGTTTTGACAATTCCTGTCATGGGCTATGCATGACTGAGTCGAGATTTCTGGCAGCATTATCTAACATGATATTACAGTTGGCCGCCTCTTTCTGATAGCAACAGCAGAAAGAATTTTGAGAGTTGTTGTGTAGTTTCATGTGCTCTCTCATGTTATCCTATACTTTCTTGACTCATTGTCTGCTTTTTCTGACTTGGCTGCTATGTGATGATACCCCAATGACTGAGCATTCTGCAGTTGGTCCACAGTTTGTATATGATGTACTGCATTGTTTCAAGACGGGACTGATAGCAGCTGAGATAAAACTTTGATTTCTCAATTTCCTTAATCTTTCCATTCTTAGAGTTTTTATTTTGGTCCTATCCTTCAGTTACCTGTAGGAGAATCTGATGCGTCAGTCTTCTTTGTGTACCAGACAACCTAGCAGAACCTAGTTTATGAACTGCAGCATTAGACAACGTGTCTTACTCTAACTGTAACTGCTGTTTCACAGTACCAAGCGTTTCCCTGGTTATGATTCTGAAAGCAAAGAATTCAATGCAGAGGTTCACCGCAAGCATATCATGGGCCAAAATGTTGCAGATTATATGCGTTACCTGATGGAGGAGGATGAAGATGCTTACAAAAAACAGTTCTCCCAATACATAAAGAACAATGTAACGCCTGATGGGGTAAGACTTGCTTGGCTGGCTCTTTCTTGTGCATTAATAGAGATGCTAATAATGGTCTTGTTTAGGGACTTCTCTAGTAATGCAAATAATCTTGACATGTAAAATAATGTGACTCATGCTGTATGCATCCTTGCAAAGAAAAACATGCTTTTCTTCCATTGTAGCACATCATAGGTCTCTTGAAAGTGTTTTTTTTTCTTTGGTTTTTTTTTCCCCCCCCTGTTTTGAAGCCTAACATTCTGCCTATAAATCTGAGCTTATAGAATTGGCCTAACGCAAGCCGTGTGTGTTTCTTTTTGCTAATACGGAAACTAGCTCAAAAAGTTTCTATGCTTGTCTACTCACTAGTTCCTAATCCTGCACCACAGCCTCTTCTTTCCTCAGCTATGGTGGCTTTAACTGGGAGGACGTATTGTACGTTGCATTGGTTTTATGGGTTGTGTGACCCTATAGGTAGTTCTAGGTGTCAGGTGAATACAGAAAATCCCAAGCTGGCTCTATTGCAGAAGCTAGCATCTCATGAAACTACATACTGCATACAGTACACCTTATTTCAGTACTACGTTCAGTTTTGGAATAGCTTGCATAAAACGCTTTTTAAAACAAGTGCAGCGTGACCAGCCTTCCCCTTTCTCACTGTAAAAGCAAACTCCTTTCAAGTGGTTATCTTGTTGTCTGTAACACTCCTGCCTGGTTTCCCCCATTAGTGGTCCTGCAGCTTGGAACAAACACTTTCATGTCCCTTTTTAGGCTATGAAGAATTAACTTCTTTCTTTATCCTTTTATGCCTTTTCTATTATTACTATTTTTTACTTATCTGTTAATTGGTTGTAGTTTAATCTGTAGTAAAAAACGAATTTAACACAGCATTGTAAATGCCAATTTCATATATTTTACTAAATAAACAATACTTGTAGCTTGTATTGCAGTTAACTGTGCCCAGGGTTTATGTCAATAGCAAGAAACTTATTGTTTGTACATCTACACAGTCTTTTTATAGCTGTGGTACAGTGGTCTTAATTAGCTAGAAGCAAAGATATTCTTAAAATGGTGCCCTTAAAAACCAGAGTTGTCTTTGGGAGAGAGCAGCAGACAGACTGTGGGATCCTCTGGTAGGTTCTGCTGTTGATCTCTTAACTGGACAGATCGCTTCCATTTTCCTCTTATACATATTAAAAGAATATTCTCTAAAGCACTATGACCTGCTGCCCGAAATTCTGTATGTGCTAGTACTAGATGAGCTGTCAGAAGTGATTGCTGGACTGTAGCCTCTTCTCATGTATTTCTGTTGTTGCCACGTGACTACATCCCTGGGCATGATACAGAGGTGGTCCTGATTCTTGTGAGACTTGTTAATCTGTAGCTGTTTTCACAACTCCTTCCACTCTTCCCCTCTTAGTAAGCTACTCTAATGTGTACTAGTAGGATCTGATAAGTGGTAAGACTGCATATTTGTACAGTGGGCATGTGAAATAATTTTGGCTTAACGTGCATAAGAGCTAAGTCTTCAGAGAGATTAGCTCTAGAGCAAAGGAAAAATTTTTTTATTCAAGGCAGAAGTAGAATCATTTTCTATACTGCCTTTTAATTTAAATGTTTATTGAAATGCATTCTTAACAAATGCTCTAGTAAAGGTATCTCATTTTTGCTACAATCCTGCAACTAGACTGCTACGAGAACTTACCAGCTGCTTGTTTTTGGTTTTGTTTTTTTAAGATGGAAGAAATGTATAAAAAGGCCCATGCTGCTATACGGGATAATCCAGTCCATGAAAAGAAACCCAAGAGAGAAGTCAAGAAAAAGAGGTAAAACTTCTTTCTTTAAGATGAGCATGACTTCTCTGTTGAAGAGATCTTAGATGAGTTTTAAGAACAGTCATTCAGTTCATACTGCAGTTAAGCGTCAAAACTCATGTGTGTTTCAGATGAGATTACGATGTAACGGTTTTGATAACTCCATGTCAGGAGTTAACTTCAGGAATGAGAATCTAAAACTTAAGAGCTGTTAACTATTCTAAAAACAAAAGGAAAAACTAGCACATGTCAGTGGCCTGAATAGCTAGAATATCATTTTAAGGATGTGTTTTCAGATCTTAATCTTTTCAGGGGAAAGGCTGCTTCTCCTCAAGAGAGGCAGGCCTACTTGTTTGTCAGTACTAAATTACTCTGATTTTTCAGGGGCCTGGGAGAAATCAAGGACACATCAAGGTCCTATTACATTAGATGTGCTGTGTTGTCTGTCAGTACTCCAGGAGCACTGAGTTTACCTCTTGAGGAATGAAACTTCTGCAGTCTAAACACCCCTTGTTGTGGCCCAGCATCACCTTAAAATCAAGCATGTTGCAGGAAGCAGGAATATGCTTTAGGCATAGTATTCTTAATCCTGGCGTTCTGTTTTGTGACAGCTTTTTTGTTTATTTCTACTTTGGATATCTTACTCTGTACTTACGTTGCAGATGGAACTGTTCCAAGATGTCCCTTGCCCAGAAGAAAGATCGCGTTGCTCAGAAGAAGGCTAGCTTCCTCAGAGCCCAGGAGCACGCAGCCGATAGTTAAGATGACTTCCACAATTTTCTATCAAGCTTTGGAAAAAGTGACAATAAATTTATTGAGTAAGCAACTGTGTAAGGCTGGCTTATTAATATATCTTTATAAAAGTTTTCTGTATCTTTATAAGCCTGTTACTCTGTAGCCTTAAATATTTTTCTTCAAAGTACTATATGAATTCAACTCCTGTTTCACAGGAGAGAAGACAGGCAACAAAGACTCTAAAAACAAGGCTGCCACATTAGAATTTTATTCCCCTAACAAGGGGAAATGGATTTGGTTAATTTTCAGTCCGACTAGTATCGGAACTACCAGATACAGGAACTTGCTGCTTCCAGTTACAAAAAGACTTTGAATTTTAAAAAAGCTTTAACAGTGCTTTACAAGTGTGTTTTCCTTCCAGCATAAATAATAATGTTGCAGTGGATCTATATGTAATTATAATGACAGCTTGCCTTAGCTTAAAAAAAAAGAGTGAGGAGAAGCAGGGGTAGTCACAGCAGGCTCTAAAACCTCTGTGCCCAAAGGCAGCCTCAGGCTTACAGGAGCATTAGACAAGTAAGT